CTCCGATGGCCAGGTAGCGGAAGAAGAGCCAGCCGCTGATGAGGGGCTCCTTGGGGCTGCGCGGGGGCTTGTCCATGATGTCCAGGTCGGGGGGGTTGAAGCCCAGCGCGGTGGCCGGCAGCCCGTCCGTCACCAGGTTCACCCACAGCAGCTGCACGGGGATGAGCGCCTCAGGCAAGCCCAGGATGGCCGTCAGGAAGATGCTGGGGGGAAAAAACAGAGATGCTGATTTAGATGAGCTCTGGGCAGCCAGAGAAAGTGTCTGTGTTGTGCAAGGGGAGAGTGAGCAGGCACCCTGGGTTCTAGTACCCCAGCCTCAATTCACCCAAAGTCCTGCCGCAGCCCCTGGGTCAGCAACCTGAAGTCCAAGACTGAATTTTGCAGTTAAAATTTGTTCCTGTTGCTATTAAAATTTGCTTTGCAGTTGAAACCCAACCACTGACCTCCCCACAGCCATGCAGATTCCCGTTCCCAGCACAAACACCCCTCCTGACATGCAAGGGCAAAGGATGCCCGAGTGGTCCCAAGGCTGCGCCCACGTTGCCGAGGCCAGTGTGGATTTACTGGGAATGATCACAGGGGACAGGGACAGGGAGAGGTGCACAGGATGATGCAAAGGGCATCAGTGTGACCTCGTGCCAACAGCGTGTGTGCAAACATCTGCACCCATCTTAGATGCTGGCGTGGGTTTAAATAGTCAATGCATTAACCAAACAGCTCCTGGGGGGTGGCGCGATTATAAAACTGCAAAAGAAAATTCCCCCTGCCCCTGGAGAACGAGACAAGGCACAGCTGCTCCATTCGGTACCTGAGGTTACAATTTTGGGCACTGCATGCTGGCAGGGGAAGGGGACACAGACAAAACTGCAGGTCACCTGCCCCAGGGGATGTGTCCCCACCGCTGCTCCCCCCAGTGTAGTGCCTGGTGTCGGGGGCTCTCACCAAACGACCTCTCCGACGTTGGAGGAGATGAGGTAGCGGATGAACTGCTTCATGTTGTTGTAAATGGCCCTGCCCTCCTCAACAGCCGACACGATGGTGGAGAAGTTGTCATCGGAGAGCACCATCTCAGCGGCCGACTTGGCGACAGCCGTGCCCGACCCCATGGCAATGCCGATCTCGGCTTTCTTCAGGGCAGGGGCGTCATTGACGCCGTCACCCGTCTGCATGGAGCCGTGATTAACAGGGTGCAAGAGACCGGTGGAGAGGAGGGGACGGGGGCAAAGTGGGGTGACCCCGGGCGACTCACCATGGCGGTGATCTCGTGGAAGGACTGGAGGTACTCGACGATGCGGGACTTGTGCGCCGGCTCCACGCGGGCGAAGCAGCGGGCGTCCCGGCACGCCTGCCGCTGTGCCTCGGGGGGCAGCTCATCAAATTCCCGGCCCGTGTAGGCTTTGCCAGCCACATCCTCGCTCTCCGAGAAGATGCCGATCCGGCGGCAGATGGCCACTGCCGTGCCCTTGTTGTCGCCCGTGATCATGATGACACGGATGCCGGCCTTGCGGCACATCTCGATGGAGGAGGTGACCTCCTTGCGAGGAGGGTCCAGCATCCCCACGCATCCCACAAAGGTCAGGTTGTTCTGGGAGGGGGGAGAGCCCCGGACCCGTGTTAACCCCCAGGGATGCAGCTGCTTCCCTCTCTGCTGTGAAACACCCTGGGCACAGGAATTTCCCCTGGGAGGAAACTTACAGGAGGTTTCCCACCAACCGCCCCATGGATGCACCCCATAGCCCCAGTGCAATGGGATGCTCACGTCCCCTCTGCTGCTCCTCACACCTTTTCGCTTCACTCCCCTCCTCCTGTCCCTCTCGGTGGTTCCCAGACCCCCCTCAGCAGTCACCCCACGGATGCCCAGTGGGACGGGGCTGTTGGCCTCGGGACCAGCCCCGCTGCACGCAGCCCTGCACTGGGCTTGGAGAGGAGGAGCTGAGCCATTGCACTGCCCAGTGCCCATAGAGAAACCAGAGAGAAAATACTGCTGGAACAGCTGGAATTGGATGGGGAAACTTCGGGAAGAAGGAAAAAAGCTCCTGGAGAAAGCTCCCAGTGCTGTACCTCGTAGTGGACGAAGGCGGCGGAGTCGTGCAGCTGCATGGTCTCCCTGCGGACAGGCGCGTCGTGGGTGGCCAGGGCCAGGCAGCGCAGCGTGTCGATGCCCATGCCCCAGTCCCGGATCCTGCCCAGGATCTTCTCCCGCACCGGGGCCGTCAGCGGGACCCTGGCAGTGCCCACGCGGACGTGGGTGCAGCGCTCGATCACGCTTTCCGGGGCGCCCTGGGGAGGAGCGGAGGGTTTAGGAGCTGGAATGAACCCGGAGGATAAGCGTCTCTTGCCAGCACCCAAGGAAGTGCTGGAGGGAGGGAAGGCACCAAGTCTGAGCAAAGGAGAAGGCAACCTTCCCAAATTCCCAAAACTCCACCCGCACATCCCGGCGGGCGGCTCAGTGCGCTAGATGGCAGCCTCCGACCGAGCACACGGGGACTGTGGCCGGGAAGGGAGGCCCTGTGTCAGGTCACCAGGCAGCAGGATCTGCTCTCCAGGGTATCCGTCTGACTCCTGCAAAACCTACACATCTGCCCAGGATACTCCCACCCCACGGATCCCCCTCTCAGACCTGGAGGGGATTGGGGCCGTAAGACTCTAGCTGAAAAAATGCGCTGCCCGTGGGATGCTCAGCGGATATTTGTGATGCCCTTGCGATTCAAGAAGACGTTTAGCATCACAGCATCTCACCCCGTCCCTTCTTACCTTACAAAGGAACCCCTTCTTTAATATAAAACTTGCAAACCCTCTATTGCTCTTAAAAAAGCTTGCCCAGGACCGGCAG